ATGAAGAGAGTAAAAATATGATTGCATAGTTGAAAGGAAAGGAGAGGTTTCTATCTGGTGTTGATACAACTCTGGAACATAAGCTTTTGGCTTAGACAACCTTGGCCACACCTCCTGCTCTTTTCCCTCCAGACTCAAAGGAGTTCATGTTTTGTATGCGAATTCAAGGACATGACTTTACTCATTGCCCATGTGCCCAAGACAGGGAGCTAGCGCTGTGACAAGGAGAGGACTGAGGGGGGACAAGGAAAGGACTGAGGGGGGAGGGGGAGGTGGGTAAGAAAAACTAGGCTAGGTCCTTAATGGCTTGGAATAACATTACCTGTATTCTTGTTTTAATCACATCCAATGGGTTCCCAATCATTGTGGTGGCAAATCCAGATAATGCCCCTGCAGTAGCCTGAACGGCAATATGAGAAGTCCCTTCAGGGACATAATGACCTACAGCCTCCAAGAACACACCATACCAGCCCCACCAAAGGGCACTATCTAGGCCCATAGCAAAGAGTGATGCCAGGAACCCTCTATATAGTCCCTTGGGACCATGTTTCTCATACACGTCCAATGCAATCCTTCCTGCCCCTCTCAGCTTTGTTTGGCTTGGTGTCTGTCCTTCAAGCATCCTTTTCTGAGTCACAACTTGGAGGGGATTACCAACGCACTGCTCTATAACTGCAGCAATAAAGCCTGCTACAAATCCACGCGAAGCCTCATCTAACGAAGACAATTTCTTCCTCGTAACTTCATACGTCGTAAAATACACACCTCCTGTAATAATCCCAAGTTGACCAACAAGAAATCCCCGATAAAGTCCTCTAATTCCTTCAAATTTTGTAATCTTTGCAAAAGCGTCCCACGTGTTTTTATAGGGTTTGTTTGTGCGTTGGACTTGAAGTCGAGTTCGGACTACAACCGCTGGGTATAGCACAGCTTCTAGTGAAAACATAAATCCGCTGTTGTAGACGAAGTATTTCCACTTGTTCATGTGATGCCACTCCACTTGTCTGACAACTTCTGGCATCTTGAAGCAACATTTCTCGTAAATCTATCCAATTCTACTATGAATATATAAACAAATATCATTCCTTGTAACAAAAGCAATGCATCAGCTGCAAGCCATCGTAAAAATATCACAAACAAAAGCCTAAAAAAATCCAATGAAGAAAGACAAACACACTGTAGTAAAAAAAGTTTTCATCAGAGTTAGAATTGTGGGTTTCCTGTGTATACACTCCAGGAGACTGGCACTAATTTCTTAAATTTATTTATTCTCAACTGATCTCAATCTAATCTCAACCAAAAATCCATTTTACATTTTGAAAAAACCATATATTAAACAAAGAATAAAATAATAATAATTTGTCTTTTTTATTTTTGGTTATAATTTGTTAATATTTACCGTGGACTTTACCGGGCTCCCTGTGCACTATTACCAGGCTCTCACGCACATACGTAGATTCAAAATGGCGGACGAAGACAGGTTTTGTTTCTAAACAAAAAATCAAGCTAAGATTAATCGAGTTAAAAAAAAATCGATCGAAATCCAGTTGCAAAAGAATACTGAAGTATTGTGACAAGCTGATAAGCCTTCTTGTGCTTTGTCGTCACTGGAAACAAGAGGATTTCAATGAACATTTCTCAAAGTTATTTTTTTTAGCTGAACACTTATATTCTGAATTGCTGTCAAAAAAGATATATTAAGAATGATTTTGAGCTGAAAAGTTATAATTTTAAGAGTTGGAGACGCATATTTTAAATGGCAGTGACGTTTTGAAGACGAAAAATCTCTTCATCCGACAATTTAGTATGAAACATTTTAGTGTACATTAACAATGCTCAGTTTTGCAATCAAAGGTTTTCAACGTTTAAGTGGATGTCTATGGAGAAGTATATTCACCATGTGGGATGCTATAACTTATGGAATAACCAAGTCTATGTTCATTCTGCAGTACATATTCCTTGGATTGATATGTGTGACAATTGATTATTTGTTAACACTTCCCATTATTGATAACAGGGATTTTAGCAGAGCTATGGTTGATAACATGGGGCATGCTTTGATTGGTGGAGTCAGCTGGATCACTGTTGTGGGTATTCATAGAAAGGGTATATTACAGGCGATTGGTTGCGCGGTGATGTCTAGTCTTATTGATGTGGATCATTTTGTTATGGCAAGGTCACTTCATTTAAAGGTAACCATATCTTTACAGTATGCAAGCATAGACACTGTACAGTAATCGCCCCTCTCCACCCCTTGGAAATTTCAATCCCTATCTGTTTGTGTGTGTGTGGGGGGGGGGGGGGGGGGGGCTGCATACATTTTGAACAACATAGTAAACCCTCCACAGAATCTCCCCACCCTTTGGAAATTTTCAATTCCATTTAATGGAGGAGGTATGGATATTTTGTGGAAGTACGCAACATACCCTCCTCAGACCCTCCCCACCCCTATGAAATGGATCAAATCAGTCCACTTGGGCGTAATGTGTCATTCTCTTGAGTATTATTTCTTTCTTTACTAGAAATACTTTTCAGCTATGGTGCAATGTTTTCCCATTGCAGACCATGTGTCATTACCTTGAGTATTATTTCTTTCTTTACTAGAAATGCTTTTCAGCTATGGCGCAATGTTTTCCCATTTCAAACCATGCGTCATTCCCTTGAGTATTATTTCTTTCTTTACTAGGAATGCTTTTCAGCTATGGTACAATGCTTTCCCATTTCAGACCACGTGTCATTCTCTTTAGAATAAGATTCTTCTCATGTGCAACCGTTAAACAAAGAAATAATACTCTATGGAATGAAAAGTCTGAAAAGGGGAAACAGCAGATTAGGCCTATTTCAATCCTCCTCCATTGGATAGGTATGGATATTTTCTATCCAATCTAGTATAGACCCCTTGTATTGAATTCCTAGAGGAATTGTTCTGGGGGACAAAACAATAGGGTGTCTTTTCTTATGCAAAAAATACCCATTACTTTGTCCCTAAGAACGATTCCTCTATGGACTCAGTGCAAGGGGTCTACTGTATATATGCTCCTTAGACCTTTAAAAAGCTTAATCCCCTCAAACCTCCATCTTTTCATCCCCAATGCCGGTTTTTTTACATTTGAATCAAGATTTAGCTCAACCAATAACTTGATTCTTAAATTTTCAGAATGCTGTTTCTCTGCCCCATCGTCCTCCACTGCATGCAACAACAATCCTTCCATTTGTGGTCCCCATCCTTCAAGTTTGGTGCGCACAGAACATTCCATGCCTGCACCATCTACCATACATGTTCATAGTTGCTGTTCTCTCACATCACTTGCGAGATGCGTATAGGCGTGGTCTATGGTTTTGGCCAATGGGTAGCACACCACCCCTCCCCTACTGGGTCTATTTAAGTTGTGTGGTGATTTTGCCAGTGATCGTTAGAGATGCTATTGAAGCTATTGAAAAGCTTCCAGTTTCTGAACTAGGGACTGATGGATTGCAAGGAAAAGCAATTCAAGAGCAAGTATAGCTAGCTATCGGTATATGAATTTGTATAGGAAATCGCACGATCTTGAGTACAATTTGGAAAAAAGGATCGTGCAATTACAAGAACTTTCAAAACATTACGAGTGTCTATTAATTCCAAATTGTACGAGAAGATCGTGCGATTTTTTGTTTATAGTTCACTCAACTAAATTTCAGTAAAAAATGCAAAGCAACGCTTTTCATCTTTGTCTATTTGGCGGCTGATTTTCAGTCTATCGCACAACTGAAATGCATAACAAAGATTAGTTCTTACGGCTTTAAAATTTTATTTATATGTTTTTTAAGTACAAAATGATAGAAAATAATTGTTTTGACATTGTTTTGGCCGTGTTGCCATAGCGACTTAATGCGGTACTCCTATGGAGTACAATTAACGCTATAATAATTGTACTCCTCTTGACCAATCAGAGTCGAGTAATTTTGTTGAGTGTACTATAAGACCAATTATAAAAATGATATATACCAGCCATACCATGAACACTAATACAAGTTTTTGATTTCTTTTTGACAAGTTTTAATCATTCTCTTTTACCATTAACCAATCATATTTTGCCGCTTCACTTTTTTTGATGGCCCCTTTTGATAGTAGAGGCATTTTGCCACTGACTTGACTACCCTGTTGTTATTTTTATTTAAGTTTGAATAAAGGTGTACAAACTCCACCTATTTTGAGTCAAGGGAGAGACATAACAAACTTATACTTCAGAATTTAAACCTAACACCAAATGCACTCCATAATGGCCATGTTTGAAAAAACAGATGGTGAAATTGAAGAAACACAAAACATGCTTGTGTGCTGTGTGCTGTGTGCAGTTATAAAGCATGCAGGGGTTGGCAGAACAAGAGAGAAGTGTTAGGAGAAGCATGAAGCATAGCAGAGTGCTTCTTGACACTTCTCAAGTGTTCTGCCAAACCCCAAGTGCTTTATTACTACACACAGAACAGCAAGCAAGTTTTTATTTCTTTTATAAAATATAAATTACAATAACCGTTATCTTGGATACGAATGATGCAACTTAAAGTGTGTGTTCATGCTGCGTGCTCTCATAAAGCACACCCTCCCAACCAATCAGAACTCGAAATTTAGAACAGTTATTTTATATTGTGTATTATAAAATATTTGAGATATAACGCGCTCGTTGATTGGCTGGCTACCTTGTTTATATCAGAGGACAGAGACACGCTCAAGCAAAATCATTCAAAAATGTTTTATAAAAGCCATATAAAACGTCTGCTTGTGTCTATATGCTGTGATATAAACACTCTGGGAGCTGTAGAGCACTCGAGAAGTCAAAGAAACACTCATCTGCACCTCATGTTTCTCTACGACTTCTCTCTTGCTCTACAGCTTCCATCGTGTTTATATCACAGTATATAGACATGCACGCCGTTTCATATTCCTTAAATGACTTTTATTAAATCATTTGAAAGAATCACATATATTTTGAAGCCCTTAACTACTTTACTGTACTATGTTACCTGATTTCTAAAAGGAAATATTAAAATTAAATATTAAAAACTTCTGCTTAAAAAATAATTGACTAATACTCCATTTTACGGTTCCCTTCGAGTGACTATGAATAATAGTTGCAACCCGAGGCTGCATTTTCAGCGCATAGCAAAAGTATACTTTTTATCATGCGCGGAAACTCCAGCCTCGGCTTGGAATGGAACAGTGAGATGGAGTATTGTTTAAATTCTGGCTGATTATTCTACATATATTACCATCAACACCACTATATAGCGGATGCAATTAAACCGTGAAATAAAATCAAGCTAAATACTAACTAATAGTATCTATTTAGTGACTAATAGTCACTATTAACCAACCAGAACATTTATTAAACAAAAGACACAAATGGTTTCTTGTGTATTTGTCTTTGTATGATGAATGTTCTGGTTGAGTGATAGCAACTATTAGTCACTAAATAGATAATATATACAATAATATCTTGACAATAAGATATACTTCTTCGTTGAAATGACATTCCAAGCTAGAACCAGTATCATATTTTCATTTTTTAATGTATTTGTTTTTGTGCTTTTGTTTGCAAAATATATTTGGCATTTTTATCTTGATGATGTTATTATTTTACCACTCTTTTCATTGTAACATGCTGATTGAGACAACAGTTGAGACAGGGAAATTTAGCAATGCACTTCTGTCTATCGAATAAATTGGTTGGTACCTTTATATTCTCTGATTGGCAGCAGTGAAAAGAGTGGCAACTCTACTCATATGATGCCGAGTCCAGGAATCAAACCAGCGAGACCCTTTATATTCACAGTCCCTTTATACAATACCATGAATAATGGTAGATGGTCTGTGTATCAAACCCCAAACCCCTTAAAAATCCTACCTAAACAGCAGTGCATGTGCTATAAATTTAAAACTAATGTATTTAAATCCCTAGACTCTTGTATATCCTTTTTCCTAAATTAATTCTTATATTATATACTATCAAAAAATTTGACACTTAAAACGTGCTATATTTCAGTATAGGTATATTTGGTTTTTGACGTCACATTTGGTAACGTGATTTGAGGACGTCATTGCGAGTGAGCGCATTCTCGGCGCCTACCCGTAATTGTCCTATTTCATAATGACGTCACATCAAAACAAACTATTATTTTAACGCTAGGGATCATGGTCACTGGAGGGGGATAAAATGACAACAACACATCTTAAATCACAATGAAATTTGGTTTATGAGCTGGTGAAGGCAAGAACAACTAAATATTACGCTAAATATCTCGAGAGAAGAGAATTAAGCTTAAATCTAGCCTAAATTTCTATCATTTTAGCGGATGTAAACAAACTGTGACGTCATTATGAAATAGGGCAATTAAGCGGCTTGCATTTTCTTTCGTTGACAACAAGTCCAAGAAGCACGCGCAAGAACATGCAGTAAAGTAGTAAGCCTGTGACCTATCATCGCCAAGAATTGCAGTATTATAATAGTGCCATAAACTAACAAAAATGACAGACCTATAAGATCCACACCCAACGTCTTTAAACTACTCTGCCTGACGAGAACCATGATAACAATCATCCACAATGTGTTGGCCACTAGGAAGATCATCACAGCGGAGTTTCGTAGGTCTTGTAGTTTTTCTTTCAGTTCTGTGTTACCATCGAAGCCAGCCATTTCTGGGATCAGACGAGACTGGCGGAGGTTTTCCCAGAATTCGTATTCGTCTCCACCATCGTTGTTGTAATATTCCAATAGGTGGGTGGGAACTCTGAGTAGCTCTCGTCGTGCCTTTCGGATGACTTTTTGACCTGAGTGGGCAAATGAAAGAAAATGAGAATTGGAAAAACGGGAATTGGAACGATGGGAATTGGGAAATAGAAACTGGGAAAATGAAAATGGAAAATAGGAATAAAAAATTGGAAACATAGGAACAAGGGAACGGGAATTGGTATAATGAAATATGTAAAAATGGAAATAAAAAGGGGAAATAGAAAAAGGTATAAGAAAATAGGAACAAAGAATTGAGCGTATACTAACTGTGTATACTACATGGACGAAAGGCCTCTCCTTTAGAGACCAGTCATTGTTTAAGTCGGGGGGGAGGAGAAAATGGGAGGCCCCCCAATTATTTTCTAGTGGAACATGGGGGCCTCGAAAGGTCAAAAGGTTTTTTAAACAATTGAAGGGGGTACTCGAAAAACATGAATGCTATTAGGTTAGGGTCTGAAAAAATTTTTTCAAATTTTTTCAAAAGCATTTTCTCCTCAACGCCGTCCCCCCCTCCCTTCTCCCTCCCCTCCTACTTAAATAATGTCTGGTCTCTTACCAGATATTTGACATACCTTGATTAGCATACTGAAGCTTGTTAATAGCCTGACAGAGCATATTTAAGTGCGCAACCTTGGTAATGTTAAATGTTTCCTTTACTGTGTCTTTGTCCATGTTTTTCAGGTCTTCAAGATCAGTAGGCTCATTGTACCCGTTCTCGTCAAACGCATCTATGTATTCTTCGAGGCCAAGATCCTCTAGCCACTCCCCAACGTCAATCTGTTTTAAAAAAAAGTGAATAATACTCAAGGGAATGATAATGAATCGAACCACGAACTCCCGCATTGAATTCCAACCGGGACGAAGCGTACGTGATGTGTGGGGGGTCCCATTAACACCGGGAAAACGTAAGGGAATGAGAAGTGATGTGTGGGGGTCCCGTTATCACCGGGAAAACGTAAGGGAATGAGAAGTGATGTGTGGGGGTCCCGTTATCACCGGGAAAACGTAAGGGAATGAGAAGTGGTCGCAAAATGGAAAGACATTATGCCTACCAGCTGATTTGAGAGAAAATGGTAGCCAATCAGAATCAAGAAAAGTTGCACAAGTAAGGCGTCAATTTTCCTCTTGAATTCACGGATTTCCAAGTCATTAAATGACGAAAAACAGAACATTACTAATAATAGGTTGATGGCAGTAAAAATATAAAACTAACGACTTTTTATATTTTTATTACGATAGTGGAAAGGCTTTTATTTTTCGCCAGTCAATTTTTTAGGGCTTCACGACACCTCAGTTTTGCAGTGACGTCTTTGCTACGTCATTATTTTGGATCAACTGGATCGAATAATCCTATAGCGAGATGACGTTTTACCCCCGACTCTACACCATAATAGTTTTTAAAATTCTTTCATATCAAAATTTTTGATTCCTTAGAGAACACAGGAATAATAGTCATAATTAAAGAACAAAAGCAGTGTGAAAAGGATTATGGTCTAGAGACGGGGGTAAAACGTCATCCCGCTTCAGGCTTATTTTGGTTTCTCGTGCTTAGTCTCCCTTAAAGACCTACTTACTTCTCAACCACAGGTATCCCATGGAAGGTAAAAGAATGGAAGTATTAGTAGTTTCTTACCGGGATATCTTCTTCGATTTCATGTTTTGGAAGTTTTGTGATCTCACGAGCGATTTTCTGTCGGTGTCCTCGTTTCTTGATGCCAATGTATTCCAGGTCCTATTAAATACAATACAATTCAAAATATCATTATCTGAAGGGCTTAATGGATATTTTCATTTATTTGAGGTTGCCAGTGGGGTTAGTAAATAAGTGACAATAGGTTGCTATCAATAGACGTCACTTCCGGCAATAGCTGCACTTTTGAATGGCTTGTAGAATCCTGGAGGTTGCCTTGATCTCTTGTTTTCTGGTTTGATGTCGTGAAAATAGTCAAATACGATAGTTTGAGGACTTATTTTGACATGTTTTGACTTAGCATCCGCTAGTTGCCCCCCAGTCAACCGCTTGTTTGCCCCCCAGTCAACTATAACACAATACGTAAGAATTAGCCCTAAGTTTCAAACATGGACACTAATTATTTATCCAATTTATCAGTCATGTTTGAAAGTCATATTTACATATGTTTTGACTAATTTGCATACGAATTCAGAGCATGCGCAGACGTGTCTTTGAACGTACCTTTTCCTTCATACTACATATGAATGCAATAGAATCGTAGCCATGTTTCCTGAAGTTCCCGGTGTATTCCTACGGCAAAAAATTGTTCAAGTAAATCACAGGAGTTGTCGAAGTTTATCAGAAAAATTACAAAATGACGAGTGAATGTCACAACTGACTGAACACTTATAACCTTGCAACCTTCTACTGATTTCTAACATTTCTAATTGAGACGGGACTGCCACTCTACGTGGTCATGCGCGCCACAACGAAGCCGGTCTAACGCTTTACCCATGGGCCTTATTCACGCGGCAGCCATGTTGGATTGAACAATAGATTCCACCACGCGTAGCCTCAGATTCTAGCGCTTGAGAATTGATTTATGCTGGGGAAACAAAAGTTTTTATTGTCATGAGAATAAACATGGCCGCCGTGTGATAAAGGGCCATATATAGAGCGTTTTAACTCACGTGACAAGGCAGCCATATTGGTGTACCAAAAAACAGAAACCGTCTGCACAGGTTTTGCATAAAAATAGAGTTCAATTCCCCGAGGATAGAAAACGTATTGTTTTGGTATACCAACATGGCCGCTGTGATGTCACGTGAAAACGCTCTATACACTAAGGTGCTATTTAAAAGCCCTTTGATACCGAAACATATCAGATTTCAAATTGTATTCAGTGCTTTGAAATGAGAATATTTGTAGAGAAAACAACATTGTCTACATTTCGGCAAACTTAAAAACTTGTCTCGTCTTTGTTTTAACCTTGCTTTTCGACCGGTAACCAACGTCTTTTCGATTTAGTTTTGATGTAAGTATTATGAAGTTTTCTTACCTTTAAGTCTCCCTTTAGCCACTCTTCGACTGGCAGATGGATGTCATCGCTAGTCAACAACGCAAATGACGAAATTCCGCCTGAAAAAGTCACCAATCACATAAATAAGTCTCTTCTCTCATTCATTAAATACCGTAAGAGAACTCGAAACTGGAGTATTGTAATTTTTTTCCTAACACTTCTCTGATGTGGCGCATCCTTTGCCGTGTCAGAACCGCGTTTGTGCTGCATACCACAGGGAGCCCAATTTAGATTAAAGTGAATGGTGAAAATAAAAAAGATCAAGATCAGATACCATAGGAAAATTACATAGGAAAACAAAGGCGCGCGCGAAAAAAAATTTTCTAGTGCATTTTTTATTGATTTTTTTACTCTTTCGCATTACGGAGGACATTATCTTGATCTCGAATTTAAAAAATCATTAATTATCTATTTTTTCCGATTTTATTTTCACTATTCACTTTAATCTAAATTGGGCTCCCTGTGGTCATACGAAAAGTGAATTGTCTTTGAAGGGTACCTACCAATTGACGTTCCCATATAAGAAACACCATCTAAGTTTCCCGCTTCTAAGTGAACACCTTCATAGACAGTGTTCATCATATCCGCTCGTGATCCTCTCCTAGGTCTGTACTGTTGGCTACTGCTGCTTGAAGAGCCGTAATCCGAATCGAATTCCACGCCTGACTGTGCACGGCTCTTTACTCTATCAACATTAGGATTCTTAAGTGAGGGATAGGATACCTCGGAGTACGGGTACCGGTTAGGTTGTGGATGGATTTCGTCGTATATCGGAGATGCCTTATTCCGACGATCACCGTCTTCTGGTGGTGTATTCGGGATGACAGTCGGGTAGCCCGGAGCGCCCGGGTACGTATCCATGCCCTCGTCATAACCTTTGTTTTCATGATTGCTTCGATGATGAAGAAGTGGATCAACCGGAAGTGGCGGGAAGCCGGATTGGTTGCCAGAGTAACGCTCGTCACCACTTCCCTGTTGCTGTTGCTGCATGCGACCAATCGTGTCTAAGATTTAAGACATAATTTACATCATTAAATATTTGTATAGGAAATCGCACGATCTCGAGTACAATTTGGAAATTAATAGACACGAGTAATGTTTTGAAAGTTCTTGTAATTGCACGAGCCTTTAGGCGATCGTGCGATTTTTCGTTCACTCAACAAAATTTCAGTAAAGAATGCGAAGCGACGCCGTTCATCTTTGTCTATTTGGCGACCGATTTTCAGTCCATCGCGCAACTGAAATGCATAAAAAAGATTAGTTCTTACGGCTTTAAAATTTTATTTATATGTTTTTTAAGTACAAAATGATAGAAAATAATTGTTTTGACATTGTTTTGGCCGTGTTGCCATAGTGTTGCCTACGGAGTACAATTAACGCTATAATTGTACTCCTCTTGACCAATCAGAGTCGAGTAATTTTGTTGAGTGTACTATAAG